TAAAGTGCAAAATTTACAATTTGTTTGCTTGATACATGACGGAACTTTCATTAGTTGAGTTAATGTCTATAATCTGTATGTAAAAAACAAATGAATTAGGCGATTCAGATTATAATTTTTTTTCGTTAATTTTGGAAAGAAAATATTTACATTTTATACTCAATAAAAGTTCAATCTAAATTTAAATTCGCTGCTCGATTAATAATTTTTGTTTACTTTATTTTAATTGCTAAAATCAGTTGAATTTCTATAAATATAATTTGAATCAGAATGAGCACATTTACTAACATTTTTCATTGAATTGCACTTTTTCTCTCGTGTGTAAAAGTAAAACAACGCAAAATGATGTGCTTCAGTTCGTTTTTTCTTCTTGTATTCCTTTGCCACTTCGTGAAGTGCAATGGTACGTATGTTACTGAACAAAACTTTGCATTATTCCACTGTGAATCTTGTATATTATATAATATATACTGTAAATAATGCATCTTTTGGTTGGCTAAGGTCCATTAAGGGCAGTGACTTTGAACTATGGCGACAAAGTCCTTGAAACCGACTTAGGATACTTAAACTTTGGTCAAATTCAGTATTGAAGGTCTCCTCCTATACTCCTACTAAAGCAAACACCGAGCTTTGTTGAGTGATCAAGTGTGAAAAATCGGGCAAAATTGGTAATGCTACCTATAACTTACTTTATGAAAGGTGAATGACTGGGACAAATTCTTCGTAGTCGACTAACCTTTGACATTTTACTACTAAAATTCTAAATTGAAAACAATAATTGCAGCCATGTGGTGATAATGTAAACAGTGAAATAGGGAGTACTGACCGATGATGGATTATGTTGACCGGAATAAAGTAAATGCTACCAAAACAAGACGTTTCTAATTCTTCGAGGCCGGTAAATATATTTCAACGGTATTTGAATCTGAGTTCCTGTATACGATAACTCCACACCATGCAAAAACTCGATCTGGGAGCCTCTGACCTAAGGAGAATTAATCCATCCATAGATCTGAGATCTGGGATAAAAGTAGTAAATTCGTGAGACGAATCATAACACAGCATTTCCTGCACTTCAATAACTGCAAACCTTAAAAATTTGATTAGATTTATGCATGATAACTTTGTTCCAATCTGAAAGACAGCAATCAATGCCAATCTGAACAAAAAACCAGATTTTTCGCAATTTGTTTCATTGGGGTGCCGAGGATACAATCCGGGGTAATATCAAAAGCAGCTCAAATCGGCTCTGTCTAAAATTGCACATGTTTTTGAATCACTTATTAGGAAATAAATAAAAAATGTTAATTATGGGAAATGCTGCATGCATGTACGTAGGTGATTATTTATTAAATGAATGATTTATTTCTGTGTACCGAGCACACATATTGCGTATGAAAGGGTCTTGAATTATTATTGAGGTTTTTATACTTTTCTTAAACTTCAGGCTCTCAATGCACCTATGCAAACTCGTGGCACAGCTTTGATTACTCTGGTCGTTCGTCTTGTCCAGAGAAACATTACATTGCTGGCCTTGAGAGATCCTTAAGCAGCGATCACACCAAAGATTATATTTACCACATTGAAGGAGCTCAATGTTGCAAAGGTACAGGTGGTTATAGTGATCGCGCATCTCAGTGTTTGAATGCAAACTGGGTAAGAAGTTTTGATAGGTGAGTTGTACAACGCCCTCCTCCGCGGGCTTTTTAGAAAATTATGGTTATAATATAACGTTATAGTCTAATTTGAATAGTGAAACACAGGAACTTTTTATTATTATTATCATTATAAATTTTATTAAAGTGTCAGACTTTATAGCTTGGGATAAAAATCCCATACTAATATGGGGACACGACAAGAGTACGTACAAAAATGCTACTTCTTAGAAAAAATATTGCTAGACTACGAGTTGCACAAAGTGCAATTCTTGCAACCTCCCTCTAGTAATAATGATAAGTTATTTTTCCTATTCATACTTTTAAAGGAGGACAGCGATGTCAAGCCTGATGAAAGCATACCCCACAACTTGGTCCCATAGATATCCAAGGCCGTCGCCAGAAGCTTGATGAATAGATTGAAAATGATTGTTTTAATGCTTTAATCCAATAACACCAATGGTGATAAAACTACAAGAACATGGCGTCCATATGAAAAGGCGCGCAAAAACATTCATACTTCATGTTATAACTAACGTTCTCTACTCATTCACGACAGATTTTATCATGTATTTTAATCATCGAATGACAGGGGAATGCCACAAATGTTACAACCCTCAGGCTCGTTGTTGTTATACTTGATTAATTCGGTTGGAGAAATAAGCCACTTTTACTAATTTGGGTTTAGAGGCAGGCAATACTACGTTTTAGGTTTAATGCAGCCTTTCTAGTTTTGAAATCCCGGAGATCTCCTATTTGAATTTAGAAATAACCAATGGAACATGTGTCCCAGTGGATATTTCCTCAGTGGCCTGGAGCGGAGTGGAAGTATCAAAGACGGTAGAAATTTCCTCCACAACATTGAGTATGGATACTGCTGTAGACCATATGATGCTCCTTCTGGATATAAACATTGTTACAAGGCAAATGTTTGGGCTCATTTTAATCATAATGATCACGGGATGATTTCGTGTGGTCGCCCTGGTTACTACATTACTGGTATATATCGATCAGTGTGTGATTTGGTCTATTGCATCGAAGAGTTTATGTGCTGCTCCATGTCCATGATGTCATAATCAGGTAAATAGGCTTTTAAATTCACTATCATTTAAATTATTAAAGCTTTTGCATGGGTCACATTCTGTACCTTCTCCGCCTAACCGAACTTGTTTCAGAGTTTACGTCACTATTTTGCTGTCTGTGCACTTTTCTATTACTGTTCTAAGCTATGATATAGTTCGCTGTGGAGACTTTTATATAGTAAAATTCATGGTATTGCAAGACATGCTAGGTAGAAATACTTGTAGTGGTCTTCCACTTGGTACAGCCACCATGAGAGACCATTATTGCAGCACAATGCCCAGTCATTGACCTAACAAGCTTGTTTGTTACATCTGGATCAACAGCCTCACGTGATGCGAAAATGGTCTCTTTCATTCTTCCAGATGTCGAGATGGTCTTCTATCTGACCTCTTCTTCACTTATTCCCAGAGATATTCGAACAGGTTTAGGTCAGAATTCTTTCGTTGCCCTGGTTACTACATTACTCTTCTTCACTTATTCCCAGAGATATTCGAACAGGTTTAGGTCAGAATTTTTTCGGTGCCCTGAACTGATTGATATTTCTTTCGGTGGGGCTTTTTTTCTCTGTCACATGGTGCCCTATCTTGTTCAAAGATAAAGTCTCAACCGCAAAGCTCTCTCCACCTTTTAGAAAGTCCCAAGATCGTAAATTTTCGACTAGATACGGAAAATGGTATGTTTGGCTTGTATTTAGAACTTTCCTAATAGATGAGATGGCTTTGTGGTGGAGATTATATCTTCCAGTAAGATGGGGACACCATGTCATTCAGAAAAGAGCCTGAAAGAGAGTGATATTGACCAGCCCAGGGCTATAAGAGATTGCTGACGTAGACCTCATTGAACATTTTTGGAAATAAGTGAGAAAGAGGTCAGATAGAAGCCCATCTCGACATCTGGAGGAATGAAAGAGACCATTTTCGCATTACATGAGGCTGTTGATCCAGATGTAACAAACAAGCTTGTTAGGTCAATGAGTGGGCATTGTGCCGCAATAATGGTCTCTCATGGTGGCTGTACCAAGTGCAAGACCACTACAAGTTTTTCTACAAAGCGTGTCTTGCAATACCATAAATTTTACTAACAAGTGACAATTTGACTGGGGGCCTAAAACCTTTGCAAAGTACTGTATATATCCAAAAATATATATAAAAGCATGCAAAGAATATCACATATAACAATCTAACCAATCACATGTTGCCTTATGTTGTCACTTTGAACCGACCTTTGAAATCACGATCTTAAAGTGTGATCATTAACATGCATGCAAACTGATCTAACTAAAGTATCACTTCTTAACACTCTGCAGCAATTTGGTTTCAAATTTGTATTCTTTGTTTTAAAGGTTCATCGACGGGTTTACAACTTGACGAAAACTAGCACGTACAAAAATGATGACCAAGATAAAATTTGACTATCCTGATTATAGAGAAAGTGTAATTCCTGATTAGCTAAATAAATTTTTTAAAGGTAGAAATACTATGTTATTCTCGAAACATATCAACTAAGCTTTACACGAGACAAAACCATTCACATTATATACAACAAAAAACCCCCGCTTTTTATAGCTCGCCATCTTGAATTTTAAAACTCGACAAGTCACGGTTCTTATTCTCCGAGTTCCATGAAGTTTTTGCCATGAAATTGCATTTCCATAAAGAAAGAAAGAAAGTGCACGTTTTTTGTGCTGCTGGCAAACGGGAATTCAAGAGGTTATTTAGTTGCTATTAATTTCAACGACTGACTCAAGCTTATCTCAGATAATGACGTCAGGAGGCGAGTTATTAACCCTCGTTCCTCCAACTAATAGTATAATGGCCGAAAAATTGATCATGAATTTTAACTTACAGTAAAAAGAGAAATAAATCACCTTGTTGAATTTTAATATGATTGTTTTGGTAAATATTATACACACACACTTTTGTAGGAGTATATATATATATATATATATTAATATAATATAATATATATATTATATATATATATATATATATATATATATATATAATATATATATATATATATATATATATATATAATATATATATATATATATATATATATATATATATATATATATATATATATATATATATATATATAGGTCAAATATTATCGTTTTAACGATACCACCTTATTACTCTCAAAAATTTGAGTTTAACTTGTATTCTAACAATTATTGTCAGTCATTCAATTGCCCAGCTATTGATTGTGTTCTATAGTAAGGTTAAATTGTGGACTGATACATTTATCGACTATAAATAAGTCTACAATATCTATATGATTAATTATTATTCTTTTCTATTTTAAGTTTTCACCAAGAGTGAACAAAGGCTTCAATGTGGAAAATTAAGGGGAAACTGTAATTCTAATGATTCACAAGGGAATAAGGGATATTTACTGTCAACAATGAAGTGTATACAATTAATGTATCCAACCATGGAAGAAAAACAAAATATTTCACCTATGATAATTTAGAAATATCCCTTCCTTGCTGACTCAATTGTGGTGGAACAGTAAGTGATAACCTTGTTGTTATACATAATCTTTATGATTATCTATGTTTACCACCTCTATGATACCCTGGATCTGACTTGTTAAACATCTGGAATGGACCTGACTTGTTAAACATGTCGATAATTCAATTTATTCTGATACAGGGTTCATGGATCATAACAAGGCCAAGGGTAGAAACAATTTAAGAAAAATATCCTGCACTCCAGCTTATTACAGAGGTAAGTTTGCTTTTAGTTTACAGCATTCATATTAATATTAGGTACCTGTTTGATTGATATCAAGTGCTCTATTTCAACACTTTGCTATAATTCTTGTTGAGAAACTATCCAAACAGATAATTGACTGCCAAATTTCTTTGTTCGACATAATACCCATGTGTGCTAGTTGGCAATTTTTTAGTTAGCCTGTCATATTTCGTGTAAAATTCTCATTGATATTTTACTTAATTGACAGAGTATGGGTTCTAAATTACCAGTAGAATAATTTTCTTTCACAATGTATCTAGCATACTGTATTAATTCTTTTTCAGGTAAAAGCTGAATTTTAAGGAGTAAACTACAAGTTGATCCATGATATGGTTGGCAAATTTCAATCCATTGATTCAGAAAAATGTTTTGGACTATGCCAAGAAATGTAACAAGAAAACTACATTGGTTCTTATAAACAGAGTAAAGAGAGCAATTGCTGGGAAATCAGGTAAATCATGCAATTAATAATAATTTGTCAAAGCCAATGGCACAATTACAATATTATAGCAATACAGGCTATTGCTACATGAAATATGGCCTATTTAGAATCTATCTATATTGATAAACAATTTTTTTAACAGACATCAAGAGCACAGTTGCTTAGATTTTGAAGGAGCTATTGAAGGAGAATGCAGGAGAATCTCAGTCTCTCTTCTTTAAGATTTTTTCTGTAAGTGTAAGAAACTCTGTGGGCTGATTTTGTTTTTTAAACACTTTTAAAGTCCTTTTTAAAAACATTGGTTTCTTATTATAGGTTGTTGATTCCATAGATCAGGATAATTGGTTCAGAAGACCTTTCAGATGTTAAAACTTTGATGATTGCGGTGGAGGGGCAAATGTTAACTTATTCAAGAACAGACTCAACCTTATTTTATCTACTAAACATGGAGTACATTGCTGGTGTGGCAAATGGAAACTGCTCTCGTCAGGAAGCCTTAGGACAAAAACTTTTAAAGGACGTTAAGTACCCTAGACATTTTATACACTCTTGTACATAGATTTTCCTGTCACAACATATGTAGAAATAAATATTTTTAAATCGCATTTTGTCCACTTTGTATGATTATAGCTTATGCTATTTAGTCGCTACATTGCTAGCGCTAAAAGTGCAAAAACTAAACCACACAAACTTCGGGTGTTAGATTAACACCATAAATTGGCGTAAAAGTAGCACCAAAGATCGTGCCAATTTGACACCTTATTTCGCGGTGTCAATTTAGCACCCGAAATGGTGTTATTCTGTACCTTTTTATTTGACACCTTTTTTGGTGTCAATATGACACCGCAAAATTAACAGTGAAGCTATGTGCAAAGATGCAATATTATATTCGACAAGCACATTGACACTATCGTCTCCCGTCTTATTGATGTTCACTAGAATCTATGTCCCTACATTTAAGATCTGGTCCCAGTTGCACGCCTTTTCTCCCCAGCAGGTGCGTGTCCATCATGCCAATACCCAAATGATAGCACATTTAATTTTTGTCAACGATGTGGTTATGTCCGACGTACATTACCTCCTCCGTCGCGTAAACCTGTTCAATTTGATTTACCTGCCATTGATCGCCGGGTTGCTGATCTTCAACAACTGAAAATCTTTCAACCGCGTACGCCAAGCAGAAACAGTCCCTTAAAGAGGAGTTGGAAGATTTTCTCTACCCATTACCGGGCAAGAAGACCGTGTTCACCGCAACCCCTTTCGATGTTTGCAGGTTCCTCGTTTATGAGAATGTTCGTGGTAAATTGCAGGTTCATTCGCACGTCTGTCCTAATATTACAAAGCGAGGACTTTCCATGGCCAGAAATTGCGGACATGGAATATGCAGATTGCCGTAGCAAATTTGCATATCTGTTCAAATATTATTCGTTTGCAGAACTATAAATTATATTGCGCATTCTTAAATTTTGCAAAATTTAAGAAAATCATTGCATCTTTGCTATTTGCCCTGGTTGTTTCTTGTAACTCGTGTCATATTGAAGATCCTGAGGTAATATTTTGCTGGCAAAGGTTTATGTCGGCTCTGCATTTTTATTTTATTTCTACGCTATTACGGTTTTCGTTTTATATGGTATTCAACGTTATAAATGACCAAAACTTTGTTTTGAAAATGCAGGACGAATACTGATAAAACATTTTGAAATACTGTATAAAAATATTAAGATTAACTTGCTCTGCAACGAGCAATTAAGGCAAATTATAATTGACCTACCTAAAGGTGTATTTTTAGCGTTTAGTACTGTGCACATTACAGTTTACTATAAACTCACGAAGCTTTATTTTGACACCATATGCAAATTTAGGCGGAAGTAGAATGTTAAATATGTCCGAATTTTCTGGCTATGATCTTGCAACTGCCCAAGGCGTTTAGCTTATGGTACAGTCGACTCCTACATCGGTAAATTACGAGCCATTTTTTCCGACGCGGGTAGGCAGGGGGATTGGAATCGCGCCTTGCATTTGGGAAATCCAGCGGCAGATGATCTAGTTGATCTAGTGTTGTACCTCAAGCAAGTAACGGCTGAACAATTACAAGCCCACTTAATGCCCAAACAAGCACTAGTACTTCCTATATTCCCAGATAAGCTCTTACAGCTCTCATGTTATTTTGAAAAAAGTCTTCTGCGCCCATCTCTTTCCCCATCCGATCTTTTTGTATTGGCTCGGGATCAAGCATTCTTTAAGGCGTTATTCTACTCAGGGGATCGCGCCGGTGACTTGGGGCTTGTGAAAACTTCGGAGATTGCCCGATTCCCGGATGATAGTGGTTTACTTTTCAACCATGTTTGGGGGAAGACTCTGCGGGATAACTCGCACAATCTCTTTGGTATGCGGCGCCACCCAAATCCTACCTTGTGTCCTGTACGGGGAATTGAAGTGTACGTCTCCATTGCCAGTGAACTCTCCGTTGATCTTTTGGCAGGATATTTATTTCTTCCCACAAACCGTCAGGGTCATATTCTCAACCAAGCTTTATCCAGCTCCGCCGCAACCGCGCGTCTTACGTTATATCTCCGGCAGGCCAACATTGACTCAGGACAAACCCTTCACAGTTTTAGGTCTGGCTGCGCCCTTACGCAAACCTTTGCGGGATCCCGTCTTGCAGATGTTATGTCACATGTTGGCTTGTCCTCTCCGGCGACTGCACGCTACTGCTTACAGCTCGCCAATATTCTAAAGGCGGGTGCACCGGCGGATCTCCTTTCGCAGAACAGGTCGTCCGACAACCAAACTGCTGACATTTACAGAGACTTCAATCATTTGAAGAACTTTATCATGGCGTTTCCTTCACCAGATCTTTTGAAGAGAAAATCCCCCGTTACTTAAGTTTTGGCCTTTGGTGCTGGCTTTGGGTGTTTTGGCGCTTGAGTTTTGGGGTTTTCTTTGAGTTTTGGAGATCTGCCTTTGAGTTGGGGTATCGCTGAGACCTGGGGCATACGGCACCCTGTGGCCGCCAGACTCCATAACTCAAAGGAGTACGGGTAAGACCAGTGTAAATAAGATACTATTTACAGCGGTCTTACCCATTACGACTATATAAGCCAACCCACTTTAGGTCAATTGTCAGTTAGCTCAAGCAGGCTTTTAGAAAAGCCAGTCTCAAGATTCACTAGATAATGCTTTGCTTTGTATATGCCCGGAATTACCTCTACTCCGCACTCTTCGGCCGCTTCTTGTTCTCCACCCTTCCCACCTCGGGAACTCTCTTCCATACATCCACGAAAGAAGTGGCCGCCAGACTCCATAACTCAAAGGAGTACGGGTAAGACTGGTGTAAATAGAATACTATAGCCCCGTTTACACTACACTCGATTTATCGGCACGGCACGGCTAAAATGGGTGCCTTTTTTATTCGTGCTCGGCCTTTGTATTGATAGCCTGAACACTAATAGAATTGGGTACGCGTACTCATTTTAGCCGTGCCGTGCCCATAAATCGAGTGACAAAGTAAAAATTTCGCAATGGCCTATGCATATGTATGTCCATATAAGGAACGAAATATGACACGTGGTCGGCGCTTGTATGCAAATATTTTGAGCGCGTCGTTTGAAAACTGTTTTGAATCGTTTATTCATCGAGATGTTCATGCTGCTGTGTTGAAGACGTTTTGTCGGTTTTGAGCGTATTTACTTAACTATTTTGGTACTTCTAAATATCCTAAACAACAACGGGCTCCCATAAGGAAATTTCAAGGCAATTGGTTGTGGTATTACTATTATCTCAGAAATATTTTGGTAAGTGTTTGAATTTGATCAAATACAGACATACAGTATCCATGTTCGCTCAAAGTCAAACGGCCAAATCGCTAAACAATCAAATGTGTGCTATTTTTTTATTCCAGAGAAGCCAAATGACGTATTCTACTTTACTGCGATCTCTTCAGCAAGCTGTGGTCAAAGAGAATATCATTGCAATGATAGGTATCTATTCATATTTACTTTACCGTAATTTTATGATGCGTCTTCGCTTGTCTCTTATATTATTGACATAATTTAGCGATATTTTATCCTATATCAACGATTGTCCGTGCTCTATTTTGGTATATTCGTTAATATAATCTAATCCTTGCTCTATTTTGATAAATTTGATGTTAGAGGGCAAGTTATTTGTTTAAAATCAATGCCTGTGTATGTCTTTTGATATTAAATTTAATCTCCTACAGGTTACCTGAGAGTCCCATTTTAGCCTGTCATTTTTCAAATTCACATTTATATTTTAGTCAAATAACAAATCATGTTTCCATAATTTAGTAAAATCATTTTCTTTTGCAAGTAAGGTTTGCAACTGAACACATTCTATTATTTTGTTGCAGGTAAAGGCAGAATTAATTTGGAAGTGAAATGTCAAATGTGCAAGAACTATTAGTCCATGGTATGGTTGGCAAATTTTAATCTATCAAGGGTTGTCAAGAATGCCAAATATTGTGCCAAGAAGTTTGTATTGCTTCTTTCGAACCAGATAGAAACAACAAACAAGATTGGCCTATTTGGCCGCACAGAGAATCAGGTAAATGATCATGCAATTAATATATAATTTTCCCAAGGAAAAATTACAATGTCACCTGTAGTTTATTGCCCCACAATCTACTATTTTGACTGTCTTTATCCAATGCTTAGTGTACCGATTATAGTTTTGGTAACCTAACTAGATCTTCTGCTATAATTGATAAACAATTTGTTTTTCAAAGAAGACATTCAGATCAACACAGCTAGTGGTTGCTTTAGGTCTAACTGAAAAAGAATCTCTCCTTCATGCTAGGAACCACCTTGTGGGCTGATTTGACTTTTTTAATGATTATTGATCAATTTATCTTAGGTTGATGACTCCATATACAGATGATGAAATACAAATAATAAAAAAATGGCCATGGAAGAACATGCTGGGAAGTGAGTTTCTGTGGATAAATTTATAAAGAACTTGACATTGATTGTCGAAAATTGTAAATATTTGTTTGGCTGTTTTTGTAAATAGTCCTGCAGGAGTAATTGTAAATATATAAGCAACTGTGACCAAGTTTAATATATTGATTTTTTGTTTTCTGGTATTTGTGTCATTAATTTTGATTTAGATATGATTACTGATGTACTGCACATTAAATTGCAGTAGGTAAAAAGGTGCTGCTTTGACCTCAAATGTAGTGCTATTTAAACACCCA